CCACCCCCTCCGCCCCACCAACCCCTAAAACCCAAATCGCTCCCGCCCTCCTGCCCCGAGCTCTAGGCAATAGATTTGCAGAATATTCACCTGGTTTGTTCAGAGAAGCTGTAAAGGGCTGTGGTATCCCACTGATCTATGGTATTTGGTGTACTCAGTCCCCAAATTTCAGAGCAAGTGCTGTGCATAAATTGAAAAAAAAAAAACAAACAAAAAAAAAAAAAAAGTAGCATGGTTACTGAATATACCATGAGGTCAAAACATGGCGAAATGTACAGAGCACTTCCTTCACATATAAAGATACAAGAAGAATGGCATCGTTAGTGTAAAGGAAAGGCCGGTTAAATGGAAAAATAAGGTGACTGGAAGCTATGACATATGCTGAACACAGTGGAACGGACGGTTCATGAGTTATCACATCCTGGCTGGTACCTCACCTTCTCTCAATGAGAACAGAACATGACTGACACATGACAAGTCACAGGTCGTATTCTACAGTAACAGCACCCCGAGCACTGGACTGCAGGGGGCGCTGTGGTCATATAGGAGTGCAGCACGCTACATGGCAATACACGGATAGGGGGACTGTGTGGTCACATAGGAGTGCAGCATGCTACATGGCAATACACGGATAGGGGGACTGTGTGGTCACATAGGAGTGCAGCACGCTACATGGCAATACACGGATAGGGGGACTGTGTGGTCACTTAGGAGTGCAGCACTCTGCACCGAGGGCGCTGTGGTCACAGGAGTGCAGCATTCTGCATAGGGGGCTGCAGTCACATAGGTGTGCAGCGGCCTGATCACAATCACTAGAAAAGCATTAAGAAGTCTTCAAATAACCACATACAAGAAATCTAAACACATAAACCTGTAAACAGTCTGCAGGGTTGAGAAACAAAGTTAACTCCATTACTCATTGAGACGTATTGCTCCACCGATGTAGTTTTGAAACCCTTAATAAGCATATAAAACAGCACTGGGATTGGTCTGTTCCGTAATGTGAATGCAGTGTAATGAATGAGCCCTCTTTTCATACCGGGGTGGCCCGTTATGTCATGCATTAACGTGTGTTGTGCTAAGGCAGCCCATCATTTGACACAAACAACGGGCCAGAAACCACTCCTGCAGTTTCCATAGAGTAATGCAAGGTAGTCAGTCACCATGTGTCGCAGTGCCATTCACAATCAATACACAAGACTGTCATCATCACAGGTCAATGATGTGAAAAGGTCCTGAATGTTAAAGAGGCTTCCAATTTATGACCCTATTATCAAGGCTGGGGGTGTCTAGAAGTCCCCCATGCCCGCACAAAGATGCAAACCTTCACCATAGAGGTGCGTAGGTGTTCTGCCCATCCTTGTGAACGAGGTAAGGTGGTCTGAAGTCAGACTGGTCGCTTCAGCCTGTCTCCTGCAGTGATGGTACGTCCCTCAGCGTCCTCTACACGGTGTACGGGACGTAATGACTCGGAACCTTAGACCGCTGCAGTAGAGTTGGAGAGAAGCTCCAGGCATCAGTCAAAGCAAGCTGGCTAGAAGGATCAGGTTGAGTATCACTTTGTTATTTTAGCACCTAGACAAAAACGAGCACTTAATCCTTACAATGCAGGGGGAGCTTCAGCGCAAGGGTTAAGAAAATGTTTACCTGGAGTTCGGCTTTAAAGTGGAGTACCAAAAAAAAAAAACATCCCCCAATGTATTAATAAATACCAAGTTGCACTGATGTGTCTTATATCTGCCTGGAGTTTATATGTCATTGCCACCAACTCATCAGTTTTCTCTGTGAAAGATGCTTGCCCTTGGTCCAGGTGATTTCAGTCACATAAGCCGGTGTTCCATCGAAAGCTCCAACTCCCTGACTTCCGGTGCTCAGAAAGACTGGAGCTGTGTACAGTTGTGGTGCACATATAGCATTTTCAGAATACTCCTCCAGTTTGCCAGCCGCAGAATATTGTTAAAATGCAGCTGTACAGCGCTCAGTCTTTGTGTTTTGCAGTGTAACGCCGTCTGGTTGAGATTTCGATGAGTTGGAGCTTTCGATAGAACACCGGCATCCGTTATGTCTTTGGGTACCAGCAGACACCCCAAATGTAAATGGAATAGTCAACTGGCCTCTCTTTTTTTTAGTCTAAGTGCTGCCTTAGGAGATCTAACACACACACTTTATGATATCTCAGCCCAATTAACAATGGATCTTTAATAGAATTTGGATTTTAATGGACTCAATACACATTTCAGGTTAGAGTACAGAATTATATTGTGACTATAAAAAGTAACCCTAAAGCTGCCCATACACCTTACAACCATCGCATGACTTTTCATTGTGTGATGGTTGTAAGGTGATTAAAATCTTGTACAATCTGCCCATCTTGGACAGGCAGATCGTACTTGCAATCGTCGCAAGCCCTCCCCGCTGAGGGGCGGGCTTCCGATGATTGCAGAGCTGAGCGGGCGCCTGCGCACACCGGCCCGTGCGGCATTCGTCTTTCAACCACGCCACCAACCCACCAAAAATCGAACGATTTTCGGCAGGTTTTCCAGCGTGCTTGGAAGACAAGAGACTTGCGACCGTACAGTAGAAAGGTCGCAAGCCTTCCATACACCTGCCGATTATCGTACAATCGCGGATCACCCACAACTATCGTACGATAATCGGCAGGTGTATGGGCACCTTTAGAATGAAATAAAACAAACTACATTGAAGTGCCCTCATGTCACAAAGCCTGGACCAAAGTCAGATGGCCGCTGACTAGCAGGAGGATTGTGACTGCTGATATCGGAGACTCTGATAGGCGAGAAGTGAGAGAAGATGATCACCAAGGTACAATCACTGCATAGCAATACTAAGGAGGAAGCAGAGACTGCATATGTAATCAGCAGATATGCCTGCCTATATGTTGACATGGTTATAACATAAAACATGATCTGTAATACAACACACATTAACCCAACTTAAATAAAGAACTCTTGCAGTGAGGCTTACCACCCCCCCCCCAACCGCTAAAACTTATACTCACCAGATCCTTGAAGGAAGCCGTGCTTTTAGGACGGTCCCTTCGGCCTCTCTCCCTCTACGCTGCAGATCTAAGGATCCTTGAATCATCACGTTCTATGCATAGGATGGGAGTATGCCGAGAGACACACCATCTCTGCAGCAGAGGAGGAGGCAGGCTTCAGGGACTGGAGTAGCCGCCAGCCAGGTCTGCGGCTCAGGTGAGTATAACCTTTTTCTTTTCTTTAGCACCTTGACAAAAACAGGCACTACCCCTGCACTGCAAGGGTTAAAAACACTTGCCTGGAGTTCTGACTTAAGATGGTATCTTTTCATAACTATGCAAACTAGAGGTGCACCGAAAAGGAAATTTTAAAACCGAAATAAAAAAAACTGTCAGGCCGAAACCGAAAATGTTTTTTTATTTAAATTTTGTCAAATTTTTATAATATTAATTTTGTATATTTTTATTTATT